CAGCCCCAGCTACATCATCTGGCACTTACAGGGAGACTACCCGATGTTTACTTGAGCATAATGTTGAGTCTGTAGAAGATACTAAGTAAATGTCTGTAGGTATAATCAATCACGTAAAGACAATTTGAAACTGAGGGTAGCTTTAGACTACTCAGTATAGGAATGGTGAGTATGTGACTCAAATGCTGCCAGTACATTTATTGTCCCAAACAGCCTCCGTATTCTTGGCAGACATCAAAAATTTAGTTCAGAAAACACCCACCACAGATTCTCTTTCAACCCTGCACAGGGGAAATCATTATCAATCAATCAGACATGAGACAACACTGACCTGTCATCACTGCTATGGAATCTTGCAGATGAGGTAAATGAGGCCCACAGGGTTGACATGACTTGCAAAACCACTTAATGGCAAGGGCGGAACTAACACCTAGCCCCACTCTTTTTCTGTTTGGTGCTCTTTTGATTTACTACAGCTAACTGAAGACAACATCTTTTTATTCAGCTACTCATAGAAGACTAAGAGACTATTGGTTTCCAAGAGAAAGGAAATGAGTTTTTAATCTCCTTTTCCTTTAGCTGTATGTAATTCCAGTGGCAAAAGGAACGAATGGGCAAGTCACAAGATTTTAGCTCCACAGAAAAGAACTCTGAATAATGAGAGCTGCACCTAAATGGAGCTGGACCCCCATAACATGCCGGGCCCACCATACAGCAAAGGCTCAAGGACAGGTGGGATGAAGCACCTTGGGAGGCAGAAGAGTCTCACGGAGGTGGGGGGTGGGGGAGGAGGTAATTATAGCTCATTGCCAGGCCTGGGCTGTGCTTTGAGTCTATCACCTCACTTCCTCCTCACAGACCTCAGAGGAGAGGCAGCACCATCACCCCAGTCCCAGATGAGGTAGGAGACCGAGCCTCAGGGGATTAAGCAACTTGCCCAAGATCACACTGCTAGAAAGTAGCAGAGTCAGGATTTGTACTGAGATCTACATGACCCAGGCAACACTCTGAACCCGTGATAAGAGACAGGGACAACAACGAGACTCTGTCTCAAAAAAGAAAAAGAGAGGGGAAAAAAAAAAAAAAAAAAAGAAATCTGGGTTCAGATCCAGGTCTTGTCTTTCCATGGCCAGAGAGTGGCCAAAGGTTTTCTCACTTGCACATTCAGAGCCAACCAAGACAGTCTTAAGTTGACCTCTTGTTGCTTTCAAATTCTTTGACATTATACTTGCCTGTTTTTTGTACTGAGCTCTATACCCACAAGTCTAGGGACTGTTACAGGAGAATGTGACCCTGCATTCTCATAAATCCTGGCCAAGCTTTACCCTGATCAGCTTCTAAATTAGGATGAGGTCAGAGATGTTTAGGGAGGCGCCTTCAGTGACCTGCCCACTCTGGAGCAGGCTTTAGTCAAAGTTCTGAAATGCTTGTTTTTCTGGAACACCTTCTCCCCAGTCTTTTAGCTGTCCTTCCCCTTCTTTACCCGCTACCCCAGCGATCTCGTTGCAACCTCTACATCTTGGGTTCAAGCGATTTTCCTGCCTCAGCCTCTGGAGTACCTGGGACTATAGACACATGCCATGCCTGGCTGATTTTTTTTTTTTTTCCGTATTTTTAGTAGAGATGAGATTTCACCATGTTGGCCAGGCTGTTCTCAAACTCCTGACCTCAAGTGATCCAGCCACCTCGGCCTCCCAAAGTGCTAGGATTATAAGTGTGAGCCACCACGCCCGACCTGAACCCAGATTTCTGGTGCTCTTCCCACATCTGTATCCTCCCTCCTCCCAGCTGAAGACATGAGCACCATTTAACTTTGCTTTAGACAAAAGATGTTATTCACACTTTGGGCACCAGGCTGCTGAATAATAAACCTTCCAACTTTCATTTTAAAAACTATTTTAAAACCATAAAAATGACAAATTATCAAGCTTCTTTACTGATAGAATTAATGACAGAGAATGACTGAACTGGTAACTTAAGGGTTTCATTTAGTAACTTGAGATATCTTTTGAAACTTTTTCCAATTATTTGGCTTGAGATAGAAAGGTTTGATGCCAAGTTATTTTTTTATAATACATTTTATATTATTGTTAGAGTAGAACATACTTCTTTAAATACAATCTAAAGAATATAAAGAAGTGAAAAAAATAAGCCAATGAAAAATCAGCCACAGTTACTCCATCCAAATAAAACGTTGTTGATATTTTGGTGTGTTTTACTTGTAATATTTTTTAATACATGAATTTGTAGTTACACAAAGCTATACTGATGTATTATATGCTACTTTAATTTGGCTTTTTCCACTTAATCTAACTTTATATACATTGTTCCATGTTACTTCATACTATTAAAAACATAATTTAATAATGTCAAAGATTTATGATAAAGTCTTCTGTCACTCATCAGTCTGAAGCCCAAATACAGAAAAGAAAATCAAGGTAACAGCATCTTCCATTGTTTGCTCCTCCAACAAAAACAGTCCTGAATTACTCAGGGAAAAGGTCACTGTTTAACACAGATGTTGAGAAGTCCTTTTCTGAGCCAATTATCCGAGCTATGCAATAAAACTGCATCCCTCCTAGAAGCTGTCTTGCCTTACATAGATTTAGAAAATTATTATGACAAAGTCAGAGGAGGCAGGGATTTCAGACAGCTCAGTCCTAAAATCACTGAGCTACACACAGAGGTACCAAGAATCAGGGAGGCCCAGGTTTAGAGCACAGTGGAGGATTCATTTTAAAGAGATTCAGGAGAATAATCTAGGTCAGCCAATCACATCTGGCTGAGGCTGCTGGGGACTGACTGTCATTACCATCTGACAGGTGTTCACTGGCCCAAATGAACAGAGTTAGTCTCATTCCAGCTTCTAGAGAACAGGTGTGCACATCACCAAACACAAGGGGAAAATCTACTGTTATAGTTTGCACTAATTAACATCTTTGCTGGCAGGCTCAGCAGAAAGGCCAAGAGTTCAATGGCTGTGGAAGGGACTGATTTGCTATGGAACAGGCAGGGATGCACTGATGAGCCCTTGTGAAACCACAATTCTCAAACAAATGCCCACAGTCATGGACCTCCATACCCTGACACATGCCTGCGTGGGCACATTCTATGGATGGTTTATATTTAAGTCCTTGAACTCTTTGGAACACTCAGAAAGGCAACAATTGTCAGCAGCCCCATCACCAAGTAAAATATAAGATACATTGCTAGATGCGTTTCAAGCCCTGTCTCTTCCATAGCATTCTTGTATCTGATCAGATCTCTCTGGGTACTCTGTATCTTTGTTACCTGTTGGGCATTCTGTCTAGCAGTGTTGCTTCAGTGATTTTTATAGTTCTGCACATCCAGAAAAGTTCCTAGGATAGTGACCTGGAAGAACTGGCCTCCAGTTAAGTTGTGAGATCACCTAAGAGACTCTAGAACCTTTTGGTTTCCACTTATATCCTAGACAAGCTGCAGACTCTTACCAGAGCCCAGCTGGTCAAACCTATTTCTTCAGCCTCGTCAGCATCCCAGGCTCCATTACAGCCCCTACTCACCACAGTCCTTATTCTTCTCTAGTATCAACTCACCTTATTTTCCAACCTTGTCCTTTCTTTTCCAACCAACTGACTTCTCTTGCTTTTGCTATATACTTGGCAATTTTTTACTCTGTTCCCTTGAACACATTATTGCCTCCACCAGGAATATTCTCTCCTTTTTTCAATCAATCCACTGCCCTGACCCACTTTTTCCAAGACTTGGCTTGGAACTCTCTAATGAGAGAAGCCCCTTTAGAACTAAGTAAAACCTAGAGTCTTTTCATATGAAGTTCATTTTATCAGAAAAACAAACAGGTAAGCTATCATCTCCTCTTCTGCCCAAGTCAAAAGCATACTACAAGTTTTTTTTTTTTTTTTTTTTTTTCAAGACACTGGGAAATAGTTCAGAAGCAGCAGCAACCTTTTAAATTCAGTCTTCCTTGATAGTCAGCAAAGGTGTGTTCATGTACTTTTGGACAGGTTCAAGATAAAGGGCAAATAGAAAAAAATTCACCACAGGGGGTTTGCAACAAGGGTATCTACTCTGTGTGAATGATTCTTTATGTCTAGAAGAAGAAATATGGGAGACGTTGCTTCTAATTCTCTCATGTCTCAAAACGAACACTGGGGTTGCTGCTCAGCTTGTCATAGGTTAACATATAAAGTTATAAGACAGTAGGCTCAGTAGCATGAGTAGGGCACTGGAGACTCAAGGACAAAGAATTTTCATTGCTATTTACTACTGTCAGCTTGCTAGGAATCCCAAAGTTGCTTAATTTTTCTTTAAACTTCAGTTTTAAAAGAAAGTGAGATAAATACAGGTTCATTTCACAAAGTGCCATTAATAATTACTAAAATACAGATGCTTCTCAACTTATGAGGCTACATCCTGACAAACTCATGGTAAGTTGAAAATGCATTTAACACACCTAACCTACCAAACATCCTAGCTTAGCCCAGCCTACATTAAATGTGCTCAGAACACTTATATTAGCCTACAGTTAGGCAAAATCACCTAGTGCAAAGGCTATTTTATAATAAAGTGTTGAGTAGCTCAGGCAATTTATCGCATACTGTACTGAAAGTGAAAAACAGAATGACTACATGGTGATACTCAAAGTTTGATTTCTACTTAATACTTATCACTTTTGTGCCATTGTAAAGTCAAAAAAAAATTTAGTTGAATCATCATAAATTGGTACCATCTCTACACAGAACTGTCTATCTTACATTGTTCATTAGTAATTCCCCAAAATAATGTAAACTCTCCTTTTGGCAACATACATACAGCTTTTTAAATTTGGTAGACATATTTACATTAATAAAAATGTAAGATTTTTAAATACCTAGATGAGAGTTCTTAACACACACACGTACACACCAGGAGAACTACAACAGACAATAGTGTGAATTATGACTTACGTGTGAGGATAAAATAAGCTTTCAGGTATAACCTAAAGCTCTGGAATCATTTACCTTGATATACTGCCACAGATGACGGAGCATGGTTGGATGTTGTGCAGGTAGTGAACTGCTTTGGATATTCCAATTAATGTGCTGATTCGAATGTGCCAAGGGAGTGGAGCCGTACCACCCTAAAATGACAACAGCGATTGGTTTGGTTGCACTTTCTGAGTAAAACACTACCTATGTATTCATATGCAGACACATGCCAGAATAGAAGCAGACAGCAAGCTGGGGTCAGATGGGCGAATCAGCGTTTGGTTTTTCCAAAACCCATTTTTAATTCCAGATGGGTTTCCTTCTGCTACTGATGACACTTCTAGGCCTCTTTACAGACAATGAAAATACTCAGTACTTCTTAATATTAGCTTAATCAAAACAGAGCTAGTAAGGTAACACTGCTTAAAAGTTCATTAAGATTTTTAAATTACTTGTGGTACGAATAGTATGAATAATTGAGATAATCTGCTTTTATTCTCATCCTAACTAAAACGTAACCTATTTGGAATCAATTTTTAAAATTAATCTCCAAAAACATCTTATGAGGGATCATGGCATTTATTCAACTCCCTTCTCAATCTCTCTCCCCACCTCTCTCTTTTTTTTTTTAGACAAGGTCTCACTTTGTGTCACCCAGGCTGGAGTACAGTGGCACAATCATAGCTCACGACTGCCTCCATCTCCCTGGGTTCAAGCAATCCTCCTGCCTCCACCTCTTAAGTAGCTGGGACAGGCATGTGCCACCATGCCCAGCAATTTACTTATTTATTTATTTTTTTTTAGTAGAGACGAGATCTTGCTGTGCTGTCCAGCCTACCTCTTTAGGGTCTGTGTCACTGTTATGGCTATCCTTTGTATTGAAGGATACTTTGTACAAAGTTATATAAGTTAGAATTATCTAAGCAATAAGAGCAGTTGATGCCAACTCATTGGACGTACAGAATCTAATATAATATAACATAGTTGCTATAAGATGCTGGGTTCTTACTGTATAATGAGTAAAAACTCAACATGGTTGCACAAAACACTTTAACTCAGGTATTTACTCAGTCTTCTAAAAGTGAGAAATTAATCCAGGAAGTACAGCTTCCTTGAGAAACCCATCCTTGGCTTTCCCCTCATGCAAACACATCTTGCCTCCCAGCTCTCCCAGAAGGTTTCAGCAGCTCCTGCAGGACTCCAGGGGGTCAGAGGATCAGACAGAATAATAGATAGAACTTACTACACACTGCAATCTGTCAAAAAGTGTTCCATTTCTCATGTATGGATAAACCAGACAGAACTTCTCAGTCTCTGTAAAATATGCGGCCAACTCTAGTATGTTTGGATGGTGAAACCTTGAAACAAAAAATGGTTTAAAGCCATCAAATTGCTTATTCAGACAGGAAATGAACAACACTCTCATGTGGGAGTAGTAAGGTGGTGTGGGGAATAGGCCTAAAGCAGAATATAAATTCAGCTGGACACACTGGACATAGGACACAGATTTGCTTTCCAAATTGGTCTAGAGTTCTGACGCCTGGGCACAGTGGCTCACGCCTGTGAGCCCAGCACTTTGGGAGGCTGAGGCTGGCGGATCACTTGAGGTCAGGAGTTTGAGACTAGCCTGGCCAACATGATGAAACCCCATTTCTACTAAAGACACAAAAGTTAGCTGGGCATGGTGGTGAGTGCCTGGTTACCCCAGCTACTCTGGAGGCTGACGCAGGAGAATGGCTTGAACTGGGAGGTGGAGGTTGCAGTGAGCTGAGGTCACACCACTGCACTCCAGCCCGGGCAACAAGAGAGAGACTCCGCCTCAAAAAAAAAAAAGAAAAAAGTTCTAGCAAATACCAGTTACTCTTTTTGATACACTGTAATCATGTAAATATTAATAAAATATCCAAATATAAGGCAGAAAATTTCAGAAAATAAAGATTTTTAAAGATTTGTGATATTGGAAACTTTATAAAAGATCAACAACACTATTCAATATCAACATATTTTTATCAATATGAAAGACAACATGACTTATTTATTAAGTAAAAACAGTGCAACTAAAATTGTTCGTTTGACTTATTTGAATATATAAGTTAAAGCCACCAAAACATAAGAATAAAGACCATTTTCATTCATCCTTTTATTGAGCACTACTGTGTCAGGTACTATGCTAGGTACCAGTAACATCGCTGAAAAAAGACATCAGTGTCTTTGCAAAGCTTGCATTATTGTCTAAATCCATATGACTAGTAATGTTTGATGTTGAGAACATATCATTGATTTTAAGTCACAGATTTCTATGTCAATGTAATATACATTTCTCAGGCTTTTTTCTTCCCTAATAATCATTTATTAGCTTATTAACAAAAACTCAATTCCTCGATTGTGTGTGCCGTCACTATGAACCCAGGTAACAACTAGGAAATATAAAACGTGAAATTCATAAATACCGTGAACTCAATTTAATTCAAAATTATTTCTGGAAAACCTACTATGTTCTGGGCTGGCTTGGGGATATTAAAATAAATCTGTAAAAAAGATTCTATTTATAAAAGCCTGTTATTAATTTCTTCAGTAGCAAAATTTTCCTATAAACATACACACTCATATATATATATATATATATATATATATATATATATATATACAAAATATATATAGTTTGTATGCGGCGGGGATGGGAGGGTTCTGTTTCCTTTTATTCCTTTTACTTCACGGAAGGAAGCCTGTGTGTGCGTGTGTGTGTGTGTGTGTGTGTGTGTGTGTGTGTGTGGTGTACATATATGTATACACACAGAGAGAGAATTTTACTTTTAAATATATCAAAGTCTTTAGTGAAGCAAGATCACTACACCTATTATGATTCTGACCATATCTATAAAATGAAAAGCAATAGATTGGAAGGAAATTGAGTTGGTGTATTTAACAGCTGTGTATACCTGGCTGGTTCTCCTGCAACTTAACATAATTCAGAGAGATGAATCTTTTGGAAGGCGGTAGATAGTGGGCATCAGATAGATGCAGCCATGGCCTGGTGCTTCTTGCTCAGAGAGGAGAAAAGACCATGTGCTTATTTTCAAGTATTACCGATCAAGCACAAAAACAGATACTTTAAAGGTTACTAAGGTGTGGAACATGGAGATACCTGTTCTACCCTGGAGAAAGTTTGCTGGTTTTGTGCCTATGGACTCATGCCACCCAACCTTTCACTACAAGTTTTTAAATCAGTAGGGTTTTAGATTATATACATCGGAAGGTTAGCAGATCTGATACCTTCTAAAATCAGTTCAGCAAACATTCTGAGTGCCTTATGCAGACAAAATGAAGCAAGCCCCATGGTGTGGTAGAGTAAACAGACTTGAACAACTAACCTGGGTTAGACTCTCTGGTCATTTTACTGGCTGTGTTAACTTGGGCAAGTTATTTAATCATGCTTAGCCTGTTCCTTTAACTGTAATCAGTAATTAAAACTATCTATTTCCAAGGTTCTTCAGAAAATTAAATTCCTGCTGTAGGCCTTTTAGTACACTTACAAAAAAAAAAAAAAAATTAAATAAAAGGTTAAGACAAACACCAGGTCCTCAAAAATCATTAGCTTTTCCCCTTTCCCTTCAGAAAGAAGGGAAAAAAGGAATCAGAAGGCACATTCTGTGGAGTTCATAATTCTGTTTAGGGTAATTCCTTTAACATTAAACTGAAGAAACCTCTTCCTTCAGGTCTCAGCTTAGATATTCCTTCTACCAAGAAACCCATTCTGCTGTGCATCCCCCAAGTTATCCTTTCCCCCTCTGTGCCCTGTGTTTCCTCATCTTATCACTTAATTAGTCTATTGAAATTGTCTGTTTACTTAGGGACTTCTCTCCCAACCCCATTTCTGATAGTACATTCTAAGAGGAGAAAGCTGCATCTGCCTTAGTCGTATCTGAGAAGATGATGTAGAAAATAACTTGCATCTTCTGGAAAAAGTAGGATCTATCTCAGTTTCCTCTTCTGCAAAATGGAGATAATAGAAGAATTTATCTCACTGGATGTTCATGAGGATCAATGAATTAACACACATAAAGCACTTGAAATAGTGCCTAACACAAAATAAACAGTAGCAAAATAAATAATGGTACCCCAGGAATAGCCAAAATTATAAAATTGTTAATTCTCTCTAGATTAATCCATAAAGTTATTAAAATTCCATTAAAATGCCAATAGAATTTTTTAAGCCCAGACAAGTTGTTGTTCTGGTTCACAGAAAATACTTCACCAGATAAACAAACAGATCACATAAATAACTGTAAAAAAATGAAACCATGAAACTATTGGAAAAAAATGGAAGAATTATTTTATTAGGTTGGTGCAAAAATTATCACAATTTTGGCCATTAAATGTAATGTTTACATTACTTTTAACATTGATGTCTGGGCGTGGTGGCTCAAGCCTGTAATCCCAGCACTTTTGGAGGCTGAGGCGGGTGGAGCACAAGGTCAAGAGATCGAGACCATCCTGGTCAACACGGTGAAACTCCGTCTCTACTAAAAATACAAAAAAATTAGCTGGGCATGGTGGCGCGTGCCTGTAATCCCAGCTACTCAGAAGGCTGAGGCAGGAGAATTGCCTGAACCCAGGAGGCAGAGGTTGCGGTGAGCCGAGATCGCGCCACTGCACTCCAGCATGGGCAACAAGAGCGAAACTCCGTCTCAAAAAACAAAAACAAAAACAAAAAAAATTGATAAACTTTGATAAACTTAACTATAGTAAAACCATTTCTACATGTCAAAATTGTAATAAGCAAAGACGAAGTGACAGTATGGTAAAAAGTTATTTGTATCTCATAACATAAGAACAGGCAGATTTTCTAATGGGAATTATAAAATGTTCCTTCAAACCATTAAGAAAAAGACCAACAGCCTAATTTTTAAAAATAGGTGAGGAATATTATCAGATACTTCATAGAAAATAAAATATATCTCATCAGATACTTCATAGTATATGAAATATATCTCTTAAATGTATAAAAGGATTATGAATATCGCTCAGAAAAATTTGATATTCTTGTTTTTTTGAGAGGCCACCAATAAATAAAATGTAAATGAAAAAGGAGACATTACAACTGGTACTACAGAAACACAAAAGATCACAAGAGACTATTAGGAACTACTGTATGCCAACGCTCCGGAAAACTTCGAAGAAATGGATCAATTCCTAGAAACATACAATCCACTAAGACTGAATCATGAAGAAACAGAAAACCTAAATAGACTATTAACAATTAAGGAGATTGATTCAATAATCAAAAACCTCCCAACAAAGAAAAAGTCCCATTCATAGAGCTTCTGGGTAACCTCTAACAGGCATTTTAAAAGAATTAATACTAATCCTTGTCAAACTCTTTTACAAAATTAAAGAGGAGGGAACACTGTTGAACTTATTTTATTAGGCCAGCATTACCCTCATACTAAAGCCAGATAAGACACAATGAGAAAAAGTTATAGGCCAATATCCCTGATGACCATAGATACAAAAATCCTCAACAAAATACTAGCAAGGCAAATCCAACAGAACATTTTTTATTTGTTTGTTTTGGAGACTGAGTCTTGCTCTGTCACCCAGACATGTAAAAACTTTTTACTACTACAATTTTAGATTTCATTTTTTATTGACTAAGTGATATGTAAGCTTTAATGATTAGCCTCTACTATTTTGATTTCTGGTCTTCGGTATAAAAGAAAATGGACTGTAATACCTTATTTCTTCACCTTCTTCTCTGCCTCCCCACTTCACATCTTGGTTAAGAAAATATCTGAAAAGAATGTTTCCTACTTGTAAAGGGTGACAATTGAACTCTACAGGGTTAGAGGCCTTTGATGAGGAAGGCTGCACAGCTGCAGATAGGACTATATATGAAAATGAAGTCATTTCAATTTGTCTCCAAAGACTCTCAGACTTACGAGTGAATTTCCAGAAAACAATATGCACAGCAAAAGCGCTTGATTTCTTTGTCTAAAACGCTCTTCCTAAATAGAGTTATACGGATGAAACAGCTTCTAGACTGCAACGTCTCTAAGGAAGAGGGGAAATGCTGAAATATAGACCATTCTAATGCTCTAAGAATTACTATTCAGCCACATTAGTCACACATGATTTAACCCACTTCCTTGTGAGTTTCCTCTTAAAATAGGTTCGAGTGAATTATGTAAATGATCTATTTTAATATGTACTTTAAGGAATATACTAAAAGCAGACATCAGAATTTATCCAAAGTTCTAACATCTGACACAGATTTATTACATGTCACACCAAGCACTGTGCTGTAAAATCAAAGATGAACAGAGATGAAACCCAGGCACGAGGAAGAGGAAATTCCAGAGAAAACATACTCACAGCAGTAAAACTTCAAGCTCAGATAAAAACCTCTTCCAATGCTTCTTACATTGCATTTTTTTCTCCTAAATATACAGAAAGACAACAAAAATAAGAAAAGAATCTCCGTCTCTGGGATTCTTCGCCCTATTCTTAACTATAGGGGTCTATAGTGTCCCTAAATTCGATGAACTTTTTGGTATAAATGTATACAAACACTTTTCTGGGGAGAGCGTCTTTAGCTTTCATCAGATTTTCAAAAGTCCGTTAGCCCCCCAAAAAATCTAGAACCACTGTTCTTGAATTAAAAGTTTTTCATGCAATGGATCACCTTGCTAAACTCTTTCATCATATTTTGCACACCTTTACACAGACTCAAAAACATTCTATGTATTCAAAGACAGTCCCATAACATTTAGAACCTCCTCACTTGATCTGATAAAGAATCCAATTTGTGTTATTTCTATTCTGCTGCAAAATTTCACTAATTTGGTGTATATGACTTGGGTTATTTGGATAGGTCAGTTCAAGTTTACCTTTGCATTAATTTTGAAAAGATGGGCTTACTATGCAAATAAAAACATAACTCCTTACTTTGAAGAAGCTTTAGAAGATAGCCCAGAGCCTGACACGTGAATATTGGATAAATTAATAAAACTGAACAAATTAGTTTGATAATATTGTACAGAGCATCTACTCTGTTCCTGGCACCATTCTTGATGCCTTCATACATCTTAGGTCATTGCAGGCCTGTGGATCTCAGGTTTCTAACTTTTACCAATAAAAGAGTTACTTTAAGTATGCTCCTAGGTCTCACCAGTTGTAGCATTCTATCACTTGCAAATTGCTAGAGAAAAGTGGAGTTTCGGAGCTCTGCCCTCAGGAATAAAAAGAGGGAAATTCAACGGGAATTTTGGAAACTATTTTCCAAGTTGAGCCAGGAAGTCAGAAACAATAAATCAGGCTAAAAAACATTTTCAATGACCATTTTATTAGAATTTACATTTTACAAAACCATTGTTCCAGGAGCTAGGTGGGTTGGATTTTCGGCCCATCTCTAACACTTGCTTTTTGTGACTCTTTGTCAGTCACTTAACCTAAGGTCATAGTTTTCTAGTCTGAAAAATGAAGGAGTTGCTTTTTGTGTTTATGCTAATACAGCACTTTAACACCCTGTTGCTTGAAGTGTGGTCTGTGAACAACAAAACCTCAGCTTCACTAGGAGCTGCTGAGAAATGACAAATCCAGGGCTCCTATCGAATCTGCTGAATCAGAAAATGCATTGTAAGGTGATTCCCAGGTGATTACAATTAGAGAAGCACAGATCTAACACATCTGGTACAATTTCCCACTTCAGTCCCTCTAAGAAAGGTATTTGGTAACGAACCAATGTCACAAAACTGCATGTCTTTAACAAATGTTCTGTGGCTAAGGCTAAATTAAATGTTCTCATTTGTTTACTGGTAAGCATGTGTGTGTGTGTGTGTGTGTGTGTGTGTGTGTGTGTGTGTGTACACAGGTGTTGGGCTTAAAAAGGTGGCAGATATAAAACCAGAAGGGAGTCCGGCCATACTTCCATTTACCACCCTAAGAGAAAGTTAAAATGTATGTAGAGATTGTAAGATTTTGTACAGACCTTGGTAATCTCAGGTGTTTTTACTCATAACTAGCAACTAAATTATTGAAAAGGGTATGTGTGCTTCATTCAATTTATCCAGCAAATATTTGCTGAGCAACTACTATGGGCCAGGGCCTGTAATAAGGCACTAGGATACAAAGACAAATAAGAGGTCTTCAAAGAAAGCTGCCTAGTCCTTGGAGACAGGTGGGTGAAGAACATAATGCTTTGATGCTGTCGCTACACATAGGAATGGGTTTCCTGGCTCAACTTGGAAACCCAAACCACACTGGAGGGGTCACAGACAATCAGGGAAACAACACCTGTCTTTAAGAAAGAAAGGGAAGGGGATCTAGAGGCAAAAATACCCCACTGAGACTCATGGAAAGAAAACTCTCAAAAGGGAGTGTGATTTGGTGGCAGCTGCAGAGAGAACAGGAAAGTGGCCTGGACAGACCCTTTGGAGATGGGACCCTGGGACTCAACTATAAGAGAGTATACAAATAGGGACCAAGGACACATGGGCACTAAGAAACAGGCTTTAGCTTGGCCACCTCTAGAGCGACCACATTCTATTTGTTGAATGGTTGTGCCAGCTGGTTGTTTCTTTAGCAGACTGTTCATCTTTGTAGGAATTTTGAGATGTCTATGTACAAGTAAGTAGTACTAAATGCAATTTGGAGAAATGGAGAAATCAGGTAAATAATTTTTTTAAAGGTTCTGGAATGCAAGCTGCAAACTAGGAATCACCTTGGAACCCTCCTTCTTCCCACTTCCCCAGTCCTATCCAGCAGATAACCCGACATGGTCCACTTCACCTTGTCTCTTAGACATACTTCTTCCTCTGCATCTTCACTGCCTTTGCCCTGGCTAACAGCATTAGCTCTTATCACTGGCTACACATGTGAACCACCTTGGGACCTTTTAAAAAATACTGGTGCCTGCCGTTTTTTAAAAAGCTCGTTTTTTTAAAGGCTCATTTTTTTAAAAAGCTCCCTATGTGATTCTAATATATAGTCTGGGCTGGGAACACTGGTTTACATCCTGTCCATTTCTTGGTTTGCACATCTGAAATATCCCTCTATCAGGTCTTTCTGCCTCCAGTCTAGTTCTTTCATTTATTTATTTATTTTTGAGTCGGGGTCTTACTCTGTTGCCCAGACTAGAATGCAGAAGTGCGATTTTGCCTTACTGCAACCTCCACCTCCTGGGTTCAAGGAATCCTCCCACCTCAGCCTCCTGAGTAGCTGGAACTACAGGCATGTACACCACGACCAGCTTTTTTTTTTTTTTTTTTTTTTTTTTTTTGTATTTTTTGTATTTTTTGGTAGAGACAGGGTTTCACTACGTTGGTCAGTCTGGTCTTGAACTACTGACTTCAAGTGATCCAAGCACCTCAGCCTCCCAAAGTGCTGGGACTACAGGTGTGAGCCACCATGCCTGGCCTGCCTCCAGTCTAACTTTTGCCATTTTCCCCCCAATTCTTCTGCCAACTTCCAGTACACTATCTAAACTAGAATCATACTTTAATAACACAAATCTAAGTCTTTTGCTCTCCTACTTAAAAATCACCCACAGACTTAACATCTTTCCAGCATCCTCTTCTCACTATCTTCCCTACACCCACTCCACTGTGCTGAATGAAATGCTATTCATGAGTAAGACCTATACTTTTATACGTACACCTCCAGGCCCCTGAAACTGCTATTTGTTCCACTCAGAATGTACTTCCCCTCCTTCACTACCTGCCAAAATTCTATTCACCCTTCAAAATCCAGCTGGAAGGTCACTTCCTTTCATCTTTGTTTTCAAAGACAGTTTACTGAGTGGTTAGTCTGGCCAGATACTCTTCTGGGTGCCAGACACATCCCTCCTCTGGGTGGAGAGGGTTGCCATCTTTTTTTTTTTTTTTAATTAGTAGACTTTATTTTTTATAGCAGATTTAGGTTTGCAAAAAAACTGAAATGAAAGTAAGGCGTTCCCCCCCTACACACACAGCTTCCCAATTATTAACGTCTTGCACCAGTGAGGTACAATTGTTAAAATCAATGAACCTACGTTGACATATCATTATCATTGTAGTTTACATTAGGTTTCACTCATAGTGTGGTATATTCTCTGGGTTTTTTTTGACAAATATATGATAATATGTATTCACCATTACAGTATCTGACAGAATAGTTTCACTGCCCTAAAAAGCTTCTGTGCTCTGCCTGTTCATCAACCTCTTACCAAAAACCCAGAAACCATCTTTTTACTGTCTCTATTGTTCTTCCTTTTCCAAAGTGTCATATATTTGGAATCATAAGGTATGTAACCTTTTAAGATAGACTTCTGATCTGATGTGGCTGTGTCCGCACCCAAATTCATCTTGTTTGTTTTTTTTGTTTTGGTTTTTTTTTTTTTGGTTTTTTTTTTTTTGAGACGGAGTTTCGCTCTTGTTACCCAGGCTGGAGTGCAATGGCGTGATCTCGGCTCACCGCAACCTCCGCCTCCTGGGTTCAGGCAATTCTCCTGCCTCAGCCTCCTGAGTAGCTGGAATTACAGGCACGTGCCACCATGCCCAGCTAATTTTTTTTGTATTTTTAGTAGAGACGGGGTTTCACCATGTTGACCAGGATGGTCTCGATCTCTCGACCTCGTGATCCACCCGCCTTGGCCTCCCAAAGTGCTGGGATTACAGGCTTGAGCCACCGCACCCGGCCGAATTCATCTTGAATTGTAGCTTCCACAATTCCTATATATTGTGGGAGAGATCCAGTGGGAGGCAATTGAATTGTGGGGATGGGTCTTTCTGGTGCTGTTCTCATGATAGTGAGTAAGTCTCACAAGATCTGATGGTTTTAAAAATAGAAGTTTCCCTGCAAAAGTCCTCTTGTCTACCGTCAAGTAAGACATACCTCTTGCCTTCTGACGTGATTGTGAAGCCTCCCCAGCCATGTGAAACTGTGGGTTCATTAAACTTTTTCTTTTTTTCTTTTTTACTTATTTATTTATTTTTTAATTTTACTTTAAGTTCTGGGATACATGTGCTGAACATGCAGGTTTGTTACATAGGTAGACATGTGCCATGGTGGTTTTCTGCACCTATCAATCCATCATTTAGGTTTTAAGTCCTGCATGCATTAGGTGTTTGTCCCAATCCTCTCCCTCCCCTTTCCCAAAAGGACTGACAGGTCCTAGTGTGTGATGTTCCCCTCTCCGTGTCCACGTGTTCTCACTGTTCAACTCCCACTTGTAAGTAAGAACATGCAGTGTTTGATTTTCTGTTTCTGTGTTAATTTGCTGAGGATGATGGTTTCCAACTCCATCCATGTCCCTGCAAAGGACAAGGCTCATTTTTTTTTATGGCTCTGAGAGTTGCTATCTTTTATGTGCTCCTGTGATCTTTTGTATAATGCTCTGCTAAAGTACCTCTTTCACAACAGTTTAATCTTTTGTTTACCTGGCTGTTTCCCCAGAGAGACTATGAAATCCTTGAGAACAGAACTATGACTTATTCATCTCTACATGTTTAGCACCCAGTCCATGTAAGAGTTTAGTAAATGTTTATTTATTGCTTACCAGCGATGAAGAAAATGAACAGCAGCTCTTCTGTGTGTGTGTGTGGACCTATCTCTGACTGGCTCCTGAGCTTGATCCTGTAATTCCCTTTCTGCTTCTCTGGCTGTCGTCATTCAGCTGTCTTCTGACCTCCTGTTCTGCATGTTGGTTTGTTGCTCCTACTTGAAAGCCTCTTCTCTGAGTTGTAATAACAGACAATTTACAAAGCATATGCCAAACTGGCTTAGTCAGTGAAGCTGCCTGGAGAAGACTGGGCTCATCCTAAAGATCCAGGAAGACTGGGGCAGACTGGCACAACCTGACCCTCTTTAGCAAAGTCCTAGGAGACTTTTCAAAAGTCTTTTTTTGGGTGTGGGGGGATGGCGTCACTCTGTCACCCAACCTGGAGTGCAGTGGTGCAATCTCGGCTCACTGCAGCCTGTTCTTCCTGAGCTCAAGTGATTCTCCTGCCTCGGCCTCCCCAGTAGCTGGGACTACAGGAGCATACCACCACACCTAGCTAAGTTTTGTATTTTTAGTAGAGAGAGGGTTTTACCCTGTTGATCAGGCTGGTCTCAAACTCCTGACCTCAGTGATCCACCTGACTTGGCCTCCCAAAGTGCTAGGAATACAGGTGTGGACCAACACACCCAGCCTAGAAAAGTCTTCCATGCAATACATCTGGGAATGGGAAGCATTTAACTTCCACATTCTTGCAAGACAGGCCTTCATTTCTCTAGTCACCTGAAATCATATCTTATTTCCACTTATAAAATGCTATTTTCAAATACTCCTTTCAACATTGATGAAAAATGATACATTTTAATACTAAAGATGAGCAAATAAATGGAACTGATGTCCTGTGACAGTAATTCTTTACAAACCTGTTTAAATAATTTGGCAGCATATGTTTGGTTTTGAATCTCCACTCTGTACACCTCAAAAATCTCTCCTTCTCCAATTAGGAAGTCTTTGTGGAAATGTCTAGTTCCTTCTATGATGTTTTGAAAGCTGATGGAAGGTTTAAGCAATATTCCTTAGGAAGGAAAGTAGGGGAAAGATAAATTATCTTTTCTCTTTTTAAGGATGAACGTCACCATTATAACCAAAACTTCTATATTAAAAACAAATCAGAGTTCAGTAGAAGGTCGGTAGAGAAAGGCCCAGGAGCCAAAGCCGAAGCCCATCATGTGCTCTCTGCACATTTACATGGCTCTAGTTCCCACCATCCCACAGAGCAAAGGGTTTCTTAGAACAGCAGCATTGTGATTTTACTGCCTCTTGAAAGAGATCAGCCAGAGCTTAGTGCAAGAACCTCTTCCAAGATTCAATTTCCTAGTCAATGTGTTGCTGTTGACCCACTATGAACCTAAAACTACTAAATAATTATGAAAGTGGAAATCTTGACATGACTAAGCAATATTCTCCAAGCATGACTGATGGAAACACTTTTCATGTGCCAAATCCTCTAACTGCCTAATTTATTTTCTCAGAGTAAATTAGAAAGATGATTTAGGCTTTTAAAAAGTCACTCAAAGCTGGAGATTGGGAAAAAACATGCAAAGAGTAATTAAATACAAATTGAAAAGGAAAAGTTTGGCTATGTCCTTCAGAATCCAATTTTGGCTATATTTCCATAGCTAAAACAAAATCCTCTCAGAGGACACTTACTGTTTGATTTAGACCTTATTGTTGAAGAGCCAAAGCCTTATCTAACTTTTCTAGTTCTTTTTTCAACAAAAGAAGCATGAGATCTAGTGGCAAAGGTTAGGCAACACAGCCTTAAATAGTCTTTAAAATTTATCAGAATGATCCCAGGTGGGACTAAATTATTCTTCTTACTAATAAAGTAGGAAAGTTGATTTGGAAAATAACTGGATTTTCATACTGACCTCCAGCATTGCTCTACAAACACCTTGAAAGATTTCTGCAATGGCTGTGAGCATTTCTATATAAAACTCAACATAATTTTAAGAAATGTTTTCCCATGACACACAAACATAGCAAATTTTACTAACAAAAACTAAAACATACCCCTGTGTGAAGAGACCACAATTGCATTCTTCATTAGCCAATGGAGCCTTAACATAACAACATGTCATCTATTAGAACTATAAGTGTCAATCAAATTGAAATTATTTTAGTATCTATGAATTTTATACTGAATCTGAATATAAATAGTTATTGTGTTTAGTGGGTATTTCTCCCTATTAATTCACTTATGAAAGTATGATTTTAAAAAAATTGTTGAAAAAAAACTGTGTTTTTCTTACCTTTTTCAGTATGTTCAGGAATAAGAACATTATCCGCTGTGACATTGGCTGTTTCCTAAGAGAAGAAATACAAACTGAAGTAATTCCATTTCATAAGTCTAGAAAGAACAGCCCCTCAACAGAAATCCAAAGCTCCCTGGGGACTATGCAGTGCAAAGGAGTGCAACCTAATTTAGGAGAAAGCTAGCAGAAATCAAAGTTATTTCACTTTATTTAATAGCATTCATTGCCATATATATTTAAGGCTTTCATACCAACAGTAAAAACTCAAGTTTCAATGCCACAGTCAGTTAGAGTCAATTTTAAATTACTTCTAATGCTATAAAAATGATCACTGCTAGTTTGCTCTAATAAAAACTAACAGCAACATGCAAAACACCAACCAAAAAAGGAAAATTAAAAGCTGAGTTAACACAAATGTATAAATCACAGCATTCTTAACAATTCTGTCTCATCTCTGACAGATTGCTGAGAGGAGAAAGCTCTTAATTTTTCAAATATTTATAAATTTCTAATATCCTAAATCCTCAACTAAATAAAGAATAATGAAAGAACCACAGCATTTCTGGTTTTAAAAAGTATCTGCAAATCCAACATTTTTCTGATGGTTAATTTCATTCCTTATGCTCATTTATACATGCAACCAAGTTCAAGGCTCATTTTCCATGTACACATACTCTACCTTGAATGATATGTTTGGAAATCCACCTTCTTGATAACTCTTCTCTGAAGGACTCAAGACTGCTCCTGAAAGAGAAATACAAGACAGTAGATACAAAACAATTGTATGTCCCTAATACACATGTTTTTCTGACTCTGAAAATAGATATCTTGATAGCCATCTTCATTTCTAGTTTCATTCCCAGGGAATACTTAAAATAAACTTGTGAAAGTATTATTTGTGAAGTATTATATTTGTGAAATAGCTTTCTAATGAACAAATATTACACAAACATACTTTTGTTCACTTAAAACATAAGTAGTTGCCTTAATTCATTATTAATATAATAATAGCTTGAAATAATTTAAATAAGTAAATAAGATAAATTATTGTTAGACATTAAAAATATTAAAGTACAAAGAAGAGAATTTAAAAAAAACAACAACATTGTTATCATCTTTTTTTTTCTTTCCAGATGGAGTTTCACTCTGTCACCCAGGCTGGAGTGCAGTGGCCTGATCTCGGCTCATCAAAATCTCAGCCTCCTAGGTTCAAGTGATTCTCCTGCCTCAGCCTCCCAAGTGGCCAAGATTACAGGCATCTGCCACCACACCCGGCTAATTTTTTTTGCATTTTTAGTAAAGACTGGTTTCACCATGTTGGCCAGGCTAGTCTTGAACTCCTGGCCTCAAGAAATCCGCCCGCCTCAGCCCAAAGCGTAATCCCAAAGTCCTGGGATTACAGGCATAAACCACAGCACCTGGTTTTGTTACCAGGTTTCTTGCACATATATTTTTAAATGTTACAATTATGATATTATACCTTCCCCAGTTAGTTTATTTTTTAATATTATCTTGTGCCATAAAGTGTTAGAGATGCTCTGTGTGTGTGTGTGTGTGTGTGTGTGTGTGTGTGTATATGTGTGTGTCAATCACAAATACTTACCATCCCAAATGTCGACTATAATATCTATCTGGTAAAGGGCTGCCTGAATTGAGGTAATTTATATAGCTTCCTACAAAAGATTAAAATCCTGCCATATTTTGTTGTCATTTCTAACATTCTGGCTCAGACTAGAAAACTTTCATTTTATCTTTTAGCTTTCTTCTTTCTAGATTATCTTCTAGTGTTTCTTAAATTATTTGGCTTAGAACACTAGCAAGAAACCATAACCAATTAATAACAAACTTCTTTGATAACACTATAAACCAACTAGACTTAACAGACATCTATAGAACATTCCATCCAAAAACAAAATACACACATATTTCCCAAGTGTACATTGAACATTCTCCAGAACAGACCTGACCTGAGGCAATTAAATGAACCTCAAATACATGTGTAAGGATGAAATCATACAAAGTATATTTTCTGATCATACTGTCATATAAGTAGAAATCAGCAAGAGAAGAAAATTTGGGAAATTCACAGATATCTGTAAATTAAACAACAAAATCATAGACAACCAGTGAGTTAAAAAAGAAGTCATGAGAGAAATTATTAAATGCCTTGAGATAAATGAAAATGAAAACACAACATGCCAAAAGTTATGGGATGCAGCAAAAGCCATGCTTAAATGGAAATTTGTAGCCGTGAATGCCTATCGTAGAAAAGAAGAAAGGCATCAAATCAGTAAACTAAACTTTCACCTTAAGGAACTAGAAAAGAAGCACAACCTAAACTGAAGCAAGCAAAAGGAAGGAAATAATTAAGACCAGAGTGGAAATAAATGAAATAGAGGATTTTATTTTATTTTGGAGATGGAGTCTCACTCTGTTGCCCAGGCTGGAGTGCAATGGTGCAATCTCGGTTCACTGCAACCTCTGCCTCCCGGATTCAAACAATTCTCCTGCCTCAGCATTCCAAGCAGCTGGGACTACAGGTGCACATGACCACACCCAGCTAATTTTTTGTATTTTAGTGGAGACGGGGTTTCATCCAGTTGCCTAGGCTGGTCTCAAACTCTTGAACTGGGCAATCTGCCCACCTCAGCTTCCCAAAGTGCTAGGATGACAGGCATGAGCTACTACTTGGCCAAAATAAAGAATTTTTTAAAAAGAAAAAAATCAATGGGACCAAAGTTATTTTTTTAAAAAGATCGATAAAATTGACAACCTTTTAGCTTAACTGACCAAGAAAGAGAAAAGACACAAATTGCTAAAATCAAGAACAAAAGAGGGGACATCAATACTGATCCCACAGAAATAAACAGAATTATAAAGGAATATTATGAACCGTCATATGCCAAAAATCAGATAACTTAGATGACATGGGCAGATTTCTAAGAAGACACAAACTATTGAAACTAACTCAAGTAAAAATAAACAATATATGTGGACTCATAACAAGAGATTGAATTTGTACTTTAAAACTTCCCACAAAGAAAAGCCGAGGTTCAGATGGCTTCACAAGTGAATTCCACCAAACATTTAAAGAAGATTAACACCAGTCCTTCACAAACTCTTCTAGAATAGAAAAGGACAGAACAATTCCCAAACCATTTTATGACGCCAATATTATTCTGATACCAATACCAGATAAAGACATTACAAGAAAACAATAGACCAACACCTATTAGAAATATAGATGCAAAAATCCTCAATAAAACACTGGCAAACTGAAACCGGAAGCGTGTAAGGACTAGATACAATGACCAAATGGGATTGATCCCAGGAATGTAAGATTTGTTTAATATCTGAAAATCATTCAGGGTAATACACCACATTAACAGAATGAAGGACAAAAACCACGTTCACCTCAATAGATGACAAAAAAGCTTCTAACAAAATCCAACACCCTATCATGATAAAAATCCGGCCAACAGAAAAAAAATGTCCTCAATTTGATAAGGGACATCTATAAAAAGCCAACAGTTAATATCTCTAATGGTGAAAGAAAGACTGTTTTCCCCTTAAGATCAGGAACAAGATAAGGATGTCTGGTCTTGCCACTTCTGCTCAACATACTAAAGGTTTGAGCCAGAGCAACTAGGCAAGAAGAAGAAATAACAAACATACTGAATTTGTGTAGAGAAAAATGTGAAATCTAGGGGCTGTATGGGCACTAAAAGTCATTATTCTTTTGCTGTTTGTGAAAAGAGAGATAATACTTCATTGTTACATAAAATGAAAGATTGAAAATGGCTCTCTTAAGAGGCTAGTAGAAAGCTGTGGATTTTGTGTCGAAACTGGAAAACAAGTGCTGATCATTGAAATATAAATGTAAAATGTGATTCATAAGAACACGCATACCAGAAACATAATTACAATAAACAGAGATTCTAGTCTTTTGAACAGTTTTGGTCAGGTCTTGAGATGTGAGAGAATGCTTTACTGATGTGAAGAAACCACCTGGCAGCAACACCCTGAATCACAGGAATAACACCTGGGAGGAAATAAAAGGCCCTTTTCAATAAGACTAAGAAAATCCAAATCTACAAAGTGATGCCTGGAGGTTGGAATATAAAAGTCCCGAATTCCTCTAAAATGAAAATAGTTCCACAAAACAGAATAAAATTGCAAGGAAAGGAGGCCAATAACTGATTATTTAGATAACTGATAAATCTGTCCATGGCAGCAGCACGTAAACACTAAATCATTTGATGCATCTTCAGTTAGGATCTCCAACTCCTAATTTAGTGAGTAGCTATGATAGCAAGCTCCTGTTTAGCAAGCTACACATATGCTTCCAACAAATCATCACATCTCCCTTTTAACAACCTACATAATCAACCTTCAAAAAAAAACCAACTCCATCAATTACAATTAAATAATGCTATTTTATTTAGTAAAGAAGTAAGGTGCTATCTTCCTCTTCACCTCAGATTTACCTATCTCTTTATACTAGAGCAGTAAATAATTGTCTTTTTACCAATCAGCTAATCTCACATCAAAAAAAAAAAAAAAATCAATGTTGCATGTGCAACAGACTAAGAGTCAACCAAGAATGTGGACTTTTTGTCTACCTACAGTACAAATTATTCTCTGCTACATGAATAAACAACCTACAGAGTGAAAATATACTCTGAAATTTATTCCAGAACACTGAAGTATAACACATACCTGTGTGTCCTATTAAACTGGCTTAAGTTTATATTGTGAACAACAAGCCATGTGGGTGGTTTCAGTAGTTGGGAAAGCCGCAGATAATGAAAAGGATTATATTTACAGTTCCTAGGGACTCACTGAAGGTCACTAGTCAACTTCACAGTGAAGTATTCTGCTGCACTAAACTCAGTGAAGAAACATGTGCAAAGACAAAGGTGATTAGCTAAGTTATGTAAATAATATCATGGTGAAAGTCTATTAGGAACTAATATTCCATTAATAGGAACAATCAAAATAAAAGTCAATGTGAAGCTACAGTTTTCTGGTACAAATATCTCAGGATTCCTTGTGTGTGTGCAAGGGCTCATGTGCACTAAATATATTACCAAAGAACATGTGTGCAAATACACAAAACTAAAAACATGACCGTAGGAAAAGGGCCAAAGAATAAAGATGTTGATTCAAAAGAGTTTCCAACCGACGAGCCTCGGGTCTGTAAAGTAAGACCCAAGATCATTATTGTTGAAATGAATGAATACATCTAAGTGAAACAAGCAGAACAGGTGATGTTAGATTATTTCACTGACAAAGAATAAATGGAGAAAACTTCATAAGCTTTATTGATCAGCTTGTTCTAAATATAAGGCATGACACAGCATCAGAAAGAGAGAAGATAAACAAAGGGAAGAATTAGGCTACTGTGAAATGAGTAGTAAACAAGCAAGGCAGGGTTAAAGCCTATGGTGTAAAAACAGCAGTGAAGATCAAAGAGATAAAAGAAACATCCAAGATTATTCTGGAGGTATAATATAAAATATTAAATACAGGGGGGAATGTAATTATGTTTTTAACTTATATAGTAAAACAAAGAATACCATGGTCTGTGTCTTAAATACTGTGATTCCAATTATGTTTATGACTCAAAGAGTTTCAGAGTTTTTGACGGAGAGCTGATTCTATTAACTGATAAAAGTGAAACATTTTTAAAAGTGTAGTTTGTAAGTATAAGTAAATTAAAAAAAAAAAACAAGACAAAACTATAAAGTGGTAGAAAGAAATATGTTGTATAAGTTAAGTGATAAGGGAAGAAAGTGTCACAAGAAAATGTGAAGCTGGAAAGTCCCTTCCAGATAAAAGCCACAGGTAAGGAATCACTGACACACAGCATGAGTCAATGTCTTGGATAAAATGCAATATTCAAATTTACAAATTACAGTTCCTATTACAGATTAAGAGCCACATTATAAGAATCAGCATTTACCATGGTTTCTGATTAAATGAATAGCTCGATGATGCCCCATCTCCTGGAGGACCTGTAAAAGGTCACCGATGGTCTTGTTTTTCTGTGCCCAGGACCAAAGTAATTCTCTTGTTCCACTTTTACCTTGGTCTACATATTTTTCAATATGACGAACATCCAGCCAGCTGCTTGAAAGTCGCTCTGCTGTGGAAATTGAAATATAAAGAAACAAAGAATTGTTTACTGTACTTTTATTGAAATACTTGTTTTTGCATACCTTATGTTTTATTTCCTCTTATTTATAACTTTAACTTTCCTCTAATTTATAACTTTTATTTTGAACTCATTTGGCATATACTCACCTGCGTTGTGCTAATGCTGACATCTTACCACAATACAATGACCAGAATCAGTGATAACTGCAAACCTTACTGTTTAACTTAACGAGTTTTTCCACCAATGCCTGTTTTTTGTTCTAAGATCCTATCCAATTTTCCATCTTATATTTAATTGTTCCTTCTACTTAATCTCCTCCAATCTGTGATGGTCCCTCAGTCTTCCCTTGTCTTTCAGGACAGTAAATTATATTGTCCTTATCAGTACATAATATCAAAAGGTTTAGGATAGGAATATCTTATCAAAAATAACGTTTATTTTGATCACTTGGTGAAGGGAGTGTCTTCAGTGTCTCTACTATAAAATTATCTTTCCCTTTATAATGAACAAATATTTGGGGGGAGATACTTTGAGATTATGAAAATACCCTGCTTCTCCTCGGATTTGAGCCACTAACATTTGCATCCACCAGTGGATCTTATTTATCACAATTATTACTACAATGTTTGCTTAATAGTGATTTTTCTATTTTCCCTTGTTCCTTCTATGCTCATGAACTCTTCTGTAAGAAACAGCTGTCCTTTCTCCTACATTTATTTATTTACTTATCTAGTTGTTTATTTATATCTATGGGCTCAGAAATATTTATTTTATCCTACAGGTTAAAATCCAGTACTATCATTAACAATTTTGTTCCTAAAATCGTTCTAGCTTTGTCCATTTAGGTTGGCTCTTGTGTTCTTTTTTTTTACCCACTTTCTTTTTTCTTTTTCTTTCTTTTTTTTTGAGACAGGATCTCACTCTGTCACCCAGGTCGGAGTGCAGTGGGGCAATCTCAGCTCAGTGCAGCCTCCATCTCCCAGGCTCAAGCAATTCTCCCACCTCAGCCTCCTGAACAGCTGCAGCTATAGCTGTGCACTGCACCATCATGTCCAGCAAATTTTTGTATTTGTGTGTGTGTGGTTTTACTTTTTCTTTTTTGGTAGAGATGGGTTTTGCCACATTGCCCCAACTGGTCTCAAATTCCTAGGTTCAAGCTCAAGCAATCTACCTGCCTTGGCCTTCCAAAATCCTGGGATTTCATGTGTGAACTACCATAGCAGGCCTCTTGTGTTCTTTTGACAGGCTCTATCTTTTTGTACGTATCTCCTTGTTTTCTGGCACTACAAAGTGCTCCAGGCTCATTTAGTATTTCCCTCTTCCCATGACTAGAATTATTTGTCTAATGATCTCCGGTGTCTTTGTTGGACAATGTTGTATTGAAGCTCAATCCTGGTGCTAGAACTGCTCACTGTGGCCAGGGTTCCATTGCTTCTAGGTACTCCAATAAAACAGAGCAAGGAAATATAGTTTTGTACACCAATCCATGGATCTCTCTTTCTCTATCTGTATGTGCATATGTTAAAAAACAAGAATTTATTCTAATGCTTCTGATTCGAATCCAACATCACAAGGTATATTTTAATCCTTCCTCATTTGTAACTTTATTCTTGAACAATAATATTATTGATAATATATTGACTTGTTTAACTCTACAATGCAGATAAAGTACTTTCAGAATTGCCAGACCATACCCCTGTGAGAAACACATTAACAAAATTAGAACACAATAATTATTTCTGTCTTTAGCATAAAAGCACATCCAGTTAAAGATGCTGTGTGTTCCAAAGTGACTTAGATGAATTCTTTTCTTCCTCACCCCTTCAGTGTGGTTATTATTCATTTGTAATACAGTTAGATTCAGTTGTTGAAGGAATGGTGTCTTGTTCCCCCTGTCTTGCTGTTGAACATTTTTGAGAAATTAAAAGCTAATATCTGGGAAAAATCAGGGAAATGTTTTACTAGGATACTAGGCTTTAAATAATTCAATTAAGGTTTTGCATAAACATCTTAAAGCTGTACTGAAAGTATACGAGTGTTTGTGGCACCTTGATTTAACAGGATTCTTCACGTGAAAATTTACATTGCCTTTCTGCATAACTTCCAAATTTTAAAGTGTACTTTGAGGCAAAGAGGGGAGAAAGAAAGCAAATGACAGAAAAGGTGGTCTTGTTCCTATGATAGTATTCCCAATCTGGAATATTGAACACTAAAATTAACAATGTGTTTTTGGGCTATTGATGGTGATGGCGGCATCCTTTCATAACTTTACCTTCCAGAGAAACTAAAAAATGTAGGATCCTGGATACAGGTCTATGGATAAAAACCCACTGCTATCTGAGGGTGGCCATGGGGGACCCCTGACATGCCATTATAACCAGTTTTAGGAGCTCAGCACCCTTTCATCCTGCCACACACCAATATGTGGAAGCTGACCTCCAGCAGTAATCAAGGTGACCTCATAGGAGACAGAACTCCTCTCTCCACCAAGGAGAGACTTCAAAGGCAGATGTGCTTTTAAAAGGCAATGGTTGCTCAGATCTCAGAAGAATGATAAGTCTTGTGAAACTTTCTTCTGTTAAAAGTCTGTTTCAGGGCCAGGCGTGGTGGCTCACAACTGTAATTCTAGGACTTTGGGAGGCAGAGGCAGGAGAATCACTTGAGGTCAGGAGTTTGAGACCAGCCTGGCCAATGTGGCAAAACTCCATCTCTACTAAAAAAATACAAAAATTAGCCAAGCATGGTGGCGTGCACCTGTAGTCCCAGCTCCTCAGGAGGCTAAGGTGGGAGAATCACTTGAACTGAGGAAGCAGAGGTTGCAGTGAGCTGAGATCATGCCATTGTACTCCAGCCTGGCAAACAGAGTGAGACTCTTGTTTCCAAAAAAAAAAAGTCTGTTTCAGAGTTCAAAGGTTATTAATTTCTTAGGGAGTTGCTACACCAATTACAGTATTTGAAATCAAGCCAGCAGGCCTTTGCTGGAATATTCAGTTTACATCAACTTTATAGTCCCATTGGGGCTATGAGTAAATCCTGAAACCATTACTGGTCCTCTTTCTGTGAGCTAAAAATTGACATGGTAGACATTATTAGTGCCACCAATACTTCCAACCGTCTATTCCATTTCCCCGCTCTTTCAGGTTAGACGCCCCTCTGTGTCTCTTCCATCAAGAAACACTGAAAAGCCAGGACGCAATTCACCACATGTTGACAGGGGGCTGCCTCAAGATCAAAGCAGCCTGAAATACTGAGCCACCACATGGAGCGCAGTTTGCTAGACTGCCAGTGCCCTTCCCGGGAGCAAAAAGTAAACTTCTGCTATGTGAAACCACTGAGATTTTGGTGGTGCTTGTTACTGCAGCATAGCTTAGTCTATCCTGATGGATATACACAAGATCATAACTTGAATTTTGTTACTCTGCTGCAGTCTATACCAGAACAGAGTTAAAGAGAGTAGCAGCATTTGTAATTATCTATCAAACAAGGGAAGATAAAATCCAGACATTCTATTTGAATGCATGCTTAGGTTGTAGGGAAAGAAAAATAGCTAGAATAAAACATCTGACATCACTGAGTTGGAATGTCTTTGCCCTTCTTCCGTATTTCAAGTTCTGGCAAGAATATATTCATTCCTTGTTTTTTGGAGAGATGATTTTCGCAAAGAGACAAAGACTATCCAAATGCCAATATATGTTCTAGATAGCTTATTATTTTTTTAAAAAAGCCTTTAAAAATCAAAAAATATTAGCCAAGTATGATAATGTTATTTTAATATATTTCTGATGAGATAGTCTACCTATTTGGTTGAGGCACATTTTTAAAAAACACTTTATTTAGCTATTTCCACAAGCTCTTAAGAGAAATACTGCAAATCAGTGCAGTTCAAAAATTTGTTGAATATCTACTATGTGCCAGCAATACAGTAATTGTATGTTCCAAGTGTGGGTTGAGCATGAAGACAGGTCTTTAACTAAAGACGAGAACACCAGGGAAGCCTTTCTGGAGGGGTAGTTTCAGGAGCCTGAGCCATGTCATGTCTAAAGCTGAGTACTTCTCAAAAGAGGCCAATTTTCAAGAACTATTGGATAGAGTACAGTATCCTGGGGAGGAAAAAATAATCACTAGAGTTTCAGATTGAAAACAAGACAAATGAACGATTCAGAGCTCTGTAGACTGTCCTGCTTTCCCAGGAGAAAAGTTCTTAGTCAAAACAGAGCATTTCCATGGGCCTCTGGGTGAATACAGGAACGCATGTATTTAGCAGTGGCATTGCCGTTGACCTATGACACAACTCCAGGCGAAACAGCCTCACTGAACAATCTCAAACTTCTCAATAACAAATGTCCCTGTAGTCCCACTTAAAACATATAATAAATCTTCTTGCTCTTCCCTGGGCCTGCTAATTAATTATAACACCTCTAATCTTTAAAACACTTCCTATTCTCAAAACGAATATTCCAACAAGAGAACTCTAAATATCAAATTTCAGCGAAGCGAAAGTTTAGGTTTCTACTTTTTCTATTAGAAACTTAACTGGGGCTGAGTGCAGTGGCTCACATCTGTAATCCCAGCACTTTGGGAAACCAAGGGAGGAGAACCGCTTGAGCCCAGGAGTTTAAGACCAGTCTGGGCAACATGGCAAAACCCCCTCTCTATGAAAAATTTAAAATTTAGCCAGGCTTGGTGGTGTACACGCACTTGCAGTCCTAACTACTTGGGTGGCTGAGGTGGGAGGATAGCTTGAGCCCAGGAGGTCAAAGCTACTATGAGCCGAGACTGCACCACTGCATTCCGGCCTGGGTGACAGAGTGAGACTCTGCCTCCAAAAACAAAAAGGAGAAAGAAAAGAAAATTAATTGGCTAATATTTACAGAGTATTAGGCATAATGTATCATATAAATTCACAGTAATGAATATTTAAATAACAGGCTTCTTACTTTTTCTTTTGTAAAATAAAATCATTCCCTCTACCCTTTGAAACTTTGGGA